GCCGTTTACACCAAGTGTAATAAAATCAGAATCATTCTCGCCGAAATTTGGGTGCTTCCCTAATTCGATGTTTTAATAAGATTAGATTAGTTGGTCGGTCGGGCAAGTAAAATTCTCTTTCACGTGCCCCTTCAAAAAATGCACACAGATCATCAAAAGCATTCTCTCGCGCACCCCTGCTGGTCGGTCTGTGCACCCCAGTTTGGGAACCACTGCTCTAACAGATCTGGATTTATTGATTGTGGCTGTGGCGTGATTCAGTATGCAGTTTACGTGGATCCTGCGTATCTTTGTCATGTCTAGCATCCGCTGTGTAATCCAGGTGATCTGCCTGTGTCATGAGACTCAATGCTATTACTGAGTCATCACCTACTTCAGCTGCCCCTCAGTTTAAGCCTATCATGCCATTTAGCTCACAGCATGACACTTTTAGCCTGTTGCCCTCCAGCAGAGAGACTCTGCATGGATACAGTTTGGAATTTTCCTTTTTCATGGCCAAATTACAGGATCTTCTTGTTGATATTCCTGATGCAGCGGAGTAAAAAATAAATGTGGTACGGTCATTTAAAGCCCTCTTAATTTTTTTATAATTGTCATGTTTAGAGTTGTATAGTACTGTTCCTTTGCACAATATTCAGATTTTCTATATGCAAAAAATCATGGAAAACCTATTATGTTTGTCATTTTCTTTTTTAGGCTTTTCTGACAACAAGACAGAGCAAAACACGCTGTTTGCTAGCCATTGTTTGTTTACGCTCATGGCACCTTCTGTCTAGTCCCGCCGTATCGATGACGGGCGCGCACGTCGTTAAAGATGGCAAACGATGAATGGTCGGGTAGCAAAGTGTAGTCTGACATGTTTCTTGTTCATGACACGACAAGATTTTAGGAGTCAAAATTGCATAATCTGACAGTGACTGTTGTAACCGACAAAAAAATTGTGTAGTCTGAACCAGGCTTTAAATGGTCTTACATGAGTAGAGAGTCTTAAATTCATGAGTCATTATGCTTAAATTGAGTTTATGCTTAAAACAAGAAAAAAACATTTGTTAATTGGGTATAAAAATTTGTTTTTCCCTTTGAATCAAGTTGATTTTTCTGATGGAAAAACATCACTTTTTTGCAGTGTGATTTAGAAGGTACAGTTATTTATAAGTTACAAGTTATTTCCATATTCTAGTGGTTGAGAGCTGAGACAAAAAAATTGTGTAGTCTGAACCAGGCTTTAAATGGTCTTACATGAGTAGAGAGTCTTAAATTCATGAGTCATTATGCTTAAATTGAGTTTATGCTTAAAACAAGAAAAAAACATTTGTTAATTGGGTATAAAAATTTGTTTTTCCCTTTGAATCAAGTTGATTTTTCTGATGGAAAAACATAACTTTTTTGCAGTGTGATTAGAAGGTACAGTTATTTACAAGTTACAAGTTATTTCCATATTCTAGTGGTTGAGAGCTGAGCCAGAGGTTTGTTTTTTGTAAAATTATAAAAAAAATTAATGGAGATCTGTTGGAGGTTTGTGTTTTCAAACTTTGAAGCATTGTTAATAAAGGCATTTACATTTAGAAAATATGTTGATGTATTGTGTTCATGCAATTTATTCTTTAAATGTTCTGTACTTGGTCTTAAGGCTTAAATTTACCTTCATAACACCTGCAGAAACCCTGTACATAATATATAGTGCATGCTTAACAGTATTCAATAGATGCTAAGATGGTATTGCATTTTGAACATGGCCTCACACTTCAAATGACTACTAGACCATCGGGCAGTTGTTAGATGTTCTGGATCAAATAAGCAATCCAGTGCTTTTTTGTTCATGGATTACTTTACTCATAATGCATTTGAAAGCATCAGGATACCACAAAGCACAGGCTCGATAATGAGTGCCATGAGACCCTGATTGCAGACTGAAGGCAGTAGCTGCCAACTTTTAGCGATCGTGTCTGACACTCCATCTTGGTGTGAAGTGTAACAGCTGAGTGGCCTATATATAGAGTCCTCTTGGTTTTTGATGAATGTTGGTTTTCCCCCATCTCCACCCCAGCTGTGTTCATGCTGTAGTTCAGAGTGCTTTGTTGGCATTGAGAAGGGGGAGCCATAGGCAGACAGTATGTTGAAGGGATGAGAGAGCGGTTATAGAGGCTCCCAATTGTTCTTCCTGCCGCTTGGCTTGCTGACTGGAGCGTGTGGATCTGTGAGGGGCTTAGACCCCTGCAAACACAGCGGTTTGACAAAAGAGTACATCATATCACTCTGATGGGCCCCAGTAGCCATCCATCCTCCAACCCCCCCC